CAAAAAATAAAAGTACGTTTTAACTAGGAAGGAAGCTATGAATAATATCACTATTGTCTCCATTTGCAGTTTACCTTATGATGGCCCTAGCAAATTAATTGCTGTTAATTGACAAATATTAGAATGTTTCAGTGACAGCAAGTTCTAATTGTACTTAATCTTGTTTTCATTAATTTGGGTGAGGTTGCTTTGCGATATCCTATTTCACATGTTACAAATCCATCAAGTATCCTTGTAAGCTCCTTGTGTGTGAACACAATCAATGAATTTCGAGCCTCCAGGACTTCAATGGACTGACGCTTTGAAATCAGAATTACTCTACTAAACTGTATTTTTTTAGTGCAACAAGTTGTGTTTGTGCTCATTAGGCTAATTTGGCATAACACCAAGGTTTATGGATATTTATTTGCATATGAACAATTTGGAAACATATTCTGTTTCAAACAAAAATAAAACCTAACAAAATAAAGTGTAGAACCCCAAGTGATGCCCAGAATAAATTGAACAAAGCAAATACAACACCCAAGGAAGAAGAGGTAACTCAAGGTAAAATATACCTTTAACTCCTGTAAATCCTTATATGACTTGATGCCGGGTATTTTTCCTACTTTTTTTTTTTTTATACAAACGTAATTAATTATGATTTGCTTACCTGAAAACACTTGGATGCTGAGCATGGAGATGCTGAATGGTCCCCATAGATATGATTTGACTCAGTGCATGTCCAGGAAATGATGCTGAATGGAGCAGCGCAGAGATTGCCATATCTGCACACTAGCCACACTGTGGGGATGGATTGGATTGGCTGAGATCTCAGCCTGCAGATGTGTGGTTGTTGCAGTGAGAAATGCACACAGGAGAAATTAGAAATAGGTAAGTGATCATGTAATAGATACACAAGACCCAATAATCTTCAAGGAACACTCCAAACACTATAACCACTGTATTGTTATGGTGCTATACAGGGTCTGTTCTTAGGCCGAGAGGGCCAACATGCACCTCAAAGCAATTTTGTACTTAATACAGTGCCGGGAGCATCCAGAGCTGAGTAAGGGGCTATTGAGGCTTTTTGTAGCTTTTTTGTGTTAGTGTTTTTCTTGGGCACCTATTTTTGCAGTAACAATGGTACCAGACAGGGACTCAGTTTGTCACTGATTCTTAGTGGAATTAATGCAAGTTTCTTGAAGGAGATTCCAGTTCCACAGGAAGCTGCAACCAGTGTCCAAAGGACACACAGTAGGTTATCAAACCATTAGGAAATGTTTTGACTGCTTGCCCTGGGACTGCACCAGAAAATTCCTTGCAATATAACCATTATGGTGTGCATAGTGTTCATGATGCTTGAATAATAAAAAGGTATTACAAAATCCTACATATATCAATTAATCACTTGTTCAATATGTACATTTCTGTCAGTAACTTCATGATTTAGCCAACATTTTCCTGTATAAAGATCAACTTTAATAAGCTGGCAGATTTGTCTCTTGGTCTTATAGCACACATAAAAAAAACCCCACCCATTTTAAGTATTAAATATGGGGATTCATTCTCTCTATATGGCTGTACTCTTTTAAGCCCACCATCAAAATTATAGAAAAATAACTAAATATTAGTGGCTCTATTAGAATTATTCTGCATTTGAGATCCGGACCGCCCTTTTTGACTGGGATCAGTGTGATATGCAAATGGTTTAGGTTCTCTCTGTAATGGCAGGTGAGCAAAAATCAACTTAAGAACTGAGCAGTGACCCACTTAAAGGGACACTATAGTTACAAAAACAACTTTAGCACAATGAATACAAATACACAAAAATAAATCCTGCGCTCAGACTCCCACTACTCCTGAGTGTCAGCAACGATCATAGCACACTTCAGCTCCAATACAAAGAAAAAAAGAGTTACATGCACACTAGCCCAAATCACTATGCATATTCAAAGGGACACTATAGTCACCAGAACAACTACAGCTTATTGAATTTGATCTGGTGAGTAGAATCATTACCTTCAGGCTTTTTGCTGTAAACACGGTCTTTTCAGAGAAAAAGCAGTGTTTACATTACAGCCAAGTGATAACTTCACTGGCCACTCCTCAGATGGCTGTTAGAGATCCTTCCTGGGTCATGGCTGCCTAAAATGCATCCAAACATTCAGTGTCTCCTCCCTCTGTGTGCAGACACTGAACTTTCCTCATAGAGATTCATTGAATCAATTAATCTCTATGAGGAGAGGCTGATAGGCCAGGGCTTTGAATCATGCTGGCTCTTGCTGCTGCCTCTTTGTCAGTCTCAGCCAATCCTATGGGGAAGCACTGTGATTGGATCAGGCTACCACTTCTGATGATGTCAGCAGACTGCATGTTTTTCTGAGGCAAACAGCATGCAGATCTACAGCTTCAGGCTTGAATACAGTAAGATTTTGCTATATTTATGGAGGCATGAGGGGCCCAGGGGTGCTAGATGGTGGTTTTAACCCTATAGAGTCAGGAATACATGTTTGTGTTTCTGACCCTAGAGTGATCCTTTAAATAAATGAAGGTTATTTAGTAACTCCAATGGTCATGATGTAAGCCCACCTGCCACGTCAACGCAAACCTCATAGGTGGGTCCTACACTAGCAATTCATCTTGCTTCCTTGAGCTTCAGGCAAAGAGAGAGGTATTTTTATTAACCCTTAATAGGGAACACATGGGATGGGTGGCAACATTGTAACATTGCTGTGTGATACAAAAGTGAATACAAATACACAAAAATAAGTCCTGGGCTCAAGCTCCCACTACTCCTGGGCGGCAGCAACGATTATAGCACACATCAGCCCCAATACATACAAAACAAGCAAAGAAAAAGAGTTACTTGCGCACTAGCCCAAATCCCTATGCATATTTAAATAAATGGAGTTTATTTAGTAACTCCAATGTCCATTAAGTGTAAGTCAATCTGCCACTTCAAGACAAACCTCTTAGTTGAGTCATACACTAACAATTCATCTTGACGTTTTACCTTGACGTGGCAGGTGGGCTTACATCTAATGGCCATTGGAGTTACTAAAGCCTTGTTTCCACTGAGCGGAATGGTTCAGGTTGGTACGGTTCGGAAGGGTTAGAATGGTCCAGCCTATTCAGGTAAGCGTTTCCACTGCAAGTTGGACCGCCAGAGGGCTTGCAGGGTTTAGATCAAATGCCTAGCGTGGCATCACACTAGTGCGACAACAAACGTGACGCTACAAAGAATAATGGAGGTCATCCAGCAGCTCGTCTTTGCTCTGCTTGGCTTTTGGTTCTTTGCAGTTACAATACATGCTGCACTGCCAAACAGAGAAGAAAACTTCTGGCTTGGGTCTTGAGCCAGGAAGAGAAGTACACCTTTGTGCGGCAAAGACAAAGAGGGCAGCGGTATAGGGTAAGCAACTTTATGCCATGTGTTATCATATTTGTCATGTAGTTCTACTCAAATGTTAACTAACTTAAATATAAAAACATTAAAAGAAGAAGAATACAGAATATGAAAAGATCTAATTTAAGATAGGAAGGATATACGTAATGTATTTCACAACATACATGTTTCACACGTATGTTAAATTGCACATTTCAAGTATTACACCTAACATAAATACTCTTTATTTATGTTGCTCGCTTTTATATATGATGCTATCTGTCTGTGTAAAGTATATTATGTGGTATTATATTTGACTTTATAGTGATATGGTGTATTAAATTATCTGTACCATCTGTGCTTTTTTAGATGCTTCTCCTTTTGTTAAAGCAGCGCCGCCGACCAGTCATTTGGACTCTCCGCCGCGCCAATGAGTAGTGTGATATGACTGTCCCGGGATTCACACACACACAGTGGGTGCACAATTTCAGAATGTCGGATGAAACACCTTCATACCTTTGTGCAAGGCTACGTCCAGTGATGGAGAAGCAAAGCAACAATTTCAGAGTCTTTGAGGAAAAGAGTTGCCATTGCACTGTGGAAGCTGGCTGCCAACAGTGAATACAGAAGTATCAGTCATCTTTTTGGTGTCAGTAAATCATCAATGTGCCGGTGTGTGCAGGACTTCTGTAAGGCTGTCTGCACATTGTTAGTTCATTTTCCGTCTGACTACGGCTGACTACTTTGAGAACAGGTGGGGCCTTCCACAGTGTGTTGGTGCTATTGATTAGTCACATATACCAATAATAGTACCACAAGAATACCACACTGACTACTTTAACAGAAAATTCTGGCATTCCATCATCCTCTAGGGAGTAGTGGATGGAAAAGGACTATTCTGGAGTTTGAATGCAGGAAAGCCTGGGAGTTTGCATGACGCTCGAGTTTATGATTGTCCACATTTTGGGACTTGGTTGGGCAGGGAGGCCTGTACCCTGTTTGCACAACAAACATACTACATAAAACATCCAGGGCATGGGTCGTAGTTGAAAATACATTTGGGAGACTTAAGGGTAGGTGACAGTGTCTTATGAAGAGGAATGACAGTGACATTGAACTTGTGCATGGTGCTTACTTGCTGTGCTCTTCACAATCTTTGTGAAAGTCATGGAGAAGATTTACACCAGGAATGGGATACGTCTGCAGAAGAGCCAGTACAGGTAATGGCACGGGATAGCAAAGAAGAGTGCAGTGGAGTACGTCAGGCTCTGATGCAGCACCTCAACATTTAATTTTATACCATGATTTTTTTTTAAAGTTTTACATTTAATCAGACACACCCACAGTCTCTCCAGATTTTTATTCCCCCAAAACTAATCTTTCAAAATAAAATTACAAATAAAAAATTTGAATTTTTAAAAAAAAAATTAAAAGAAATTGTTTTTTATTGCAAATAAACAATTTTTACAAAAAAACAAACAAATAATTTTTAATTTTTTTTTTAAAAGTGTACAGGTCCAGTGCTGGCTGAAATGCACTGCTGCCTAGGCAGAGTCATGGGATCACAACTGCCTCCCAGAACTTGAACAAGCTGCCCAAGGACAACGCGGAAGGCCCGGTTGAAGGTAGTCAACTACTCCATCTGCTGCAGTGTGATTTCTGCCTCCTGGCATCTCACTTCCTGGGCATCCTGACGCAGTGCCTGAAACCGTCGCTCAGAAAGGTTCTCCATTCTTTCCTGATGCCTTTCATCTGCTGCCCACATCTCCTCTGTGACTGTGCGCACAGAATAGTAATTTTTTTAGCAATGGTACAAAAACTAGGTGGATATATATTAGCTAACATAATGTAAATATGTAAATAAACAGATATAACACATATGAACCATGTAAACACAAATTTAAAAAAACTCAATAAACACAATATATACAAGAGAAGCTCAAAACACAATGAAGAAAGTAGCAGTATATACTGACAATGTACAATTATGTTTATGGATTTGATCATACAAATATAAACTACACAGATGAACTTTGAGTGAGTTCACAGTTTAATGTGAATTAAAATTTAGAAAAATGCACAATTACAACTTGCACTCTGATCATCATGTCTTACCAGTGTGTGCATTGGGCGTAGTTGGGTTGGTGTTGACGCCATCGTATTGGTGCTACTGAACGACGTGGATGGACCAATGTCGGAACAGGTTGAGGCATCATTGCAGAGTCCCTCAACTGTATCTGAAAATGGACAGACCACGAGTTTGATGCACAAACAACGAGAATGTTAACGGTTAACTATCTTAAATGGCACTTAGCATCAGGTAGTAAACAATGGGATGCTGAGCTAGTAAACAATGAGATGCAAACTACCCTACCCTTTCCTTTCATTCCACTTTATAAATAAATGTGTTGTGTTTCCTTCTACTGTACAAATAAATGTGTTTTTTTGTGCAAAGAGTCAATGGTTTTGTGCATTGATTTTTATAAATTGTTAGCAGAGCTAAAGTGAATGCCAAGTGGAAAAAATACTTACGGTCGGGCTCCATAATGTATTTGAGAAGTGCAGATGCTGAGTCCAGACCTCCCTCCCTGCCTTGGTTTGCCGGCCTGTGACCGCAAATGGGGTCCATGGCGTCATACCACCTCCAAGTACTTTGACTGTTTCCACTACGGCTGTTGGCGTCCTTAATTTTTTTATATTGGCCTTTTAGCCTCTTAAGCTTTACCCTACACTGAACCAATGTCCGTTCAAATCCCTCGGCTGCCATCCACTGAGAAATATCTTTATACCCCTTTTCATTTCTCACTGATCCATCACTCTGAATAGCGCTATCGCCAGTTATAGTTAGGAAAGTGGATAGTTCCTGAGCTGACCAGACCTTGCTGTTGTTTGCAGGCATCCTTCTCCTATTACCTGGACTGAACGGCGACGTGGTGTTTGTTTAGCGCTTGCCTTTGACGTGAGCAGTAACGCTTTTCTTTCCGCCAATCAAAAGAATGTATCGTGTGGTGCCAGTAGCTCCACCCTAACCGTACCATACCATTTCCTGTGGATCTACAACTGAAGGGGGCCCAGGAATGGTGTGGCTTGGTTCGGAAGTATGGGCCACTTTTATAATAGAAACACTCAAAATAGCATACCAAACTGTACCAACCCAAACCGTTTCGCTCAGTGGAAACAAGACATAAAAAAGCTCCATTTATTTAACCCCTTAAGGACACATGACATGTGTGACATGTCATGATTCCCTTTTATTCCAGAAGTTTGGTCCTTAAGGGGTTAAATATGCATAAGGATTTTGGCTAGAATGCATCTAACTATTTCTTTCTTATTTTAATGAAGCAGTTTTGGTGTATAGATCATGCCCCTGCAGTCTCACTGCTCAATTTTCTCCATTTAGGAGTTAAATAACTTTGTTTACACAGCCCTAGTCACACCTCCCTGCTTGTGATTTACACAGCCTTCCTAAACACTTCCTGTAAAAGTCATCTAATGTTTACTCTTTGTTTATTGCAAATTATGTTTGAACTAGAATTTCTTTTTTATCTCCTGCTCTGCTAATAGCTTTCTAGACCCTGCAGGAGCCTCCTGTGTGTAATCAAACTTCAATTTACAGAGCAGGAGATAAAAACATTTAAAGTAAGTTACAACTGATTAAAAATGAAACCATTTTGTTTTCATTCAGGCTGTGTCAGTCACAGACAGGGGAGGTGTGACTAGGGCTGCATAAACAGAAACAAAAGTTATTTAACTCTTAAATGGCAGAGAATTGAGCAGTGAGACTTCAGAGGCATGATCTTTACACAAAAACTGCTTCATTAAGCTAAAGTTGTTTTGGTTACTATAGTGTTCCTTTAAGGGCAAGCTATTTAAGGTGTTGTCCGTTCTCAGTATTGTAGCCATTCAATTACTATTGCACCATGTTTTAATTTTAACATGGTAGACAACAGGATTAATTATTACTTACATTACTGCTGCATCTGCCCGAGTCTCCTACATCTCCTACCTTTTATATGCTTTTCAAGACTTTACTTACTTTTACTTACTTGTACATTAAATCATTACATATTTTTTATATCCTGCTCTATCACCTTGACAGTATCCACATTGATGAACGGCCTCTTCAACACTGTATTTTCACACAGAATTAGAAAGAATGTTTTTCTTATTGGCTGCCATGAAATCCACGCTCTAACATGCCATTTATTTATTTAATTTAATGTTAATCTTCTCAGCCAATAAATATGTATTGATTTTGCTTTCACTGGTTTGGTAAGGTTGTATCCGGTATAGTTTTGTAAGGGCTAATAAATTCTTTCAACAAAAAAGCACTGATAGCAATAAAAGTGTCCTTATTTTAACCGGTGTGACAGTAATGTTTGATATTGTCATTTGTTATTAATTGAATTCCTTACTTTTATACAAGCACTGACAGAGAAGAATCAATAGACTAAACAGATTGAATAGACTCCTGCTGCTAATGGAATCTTAACCATCACAAAGTCCTATTACACACTTTATAAGGAAAGCCCACCTGGTGTTTGCAAAATTAGGGTCCTGTAGTTTTCTTGCACTTGCTACAATGGTGTGTTCTTACCATATTATTTCAGACCTGGGCTGAAGTCCTAATTATTGTATTTGTGGCTAACAAACCAAATATGTACAACAATGGCCACAATACTAAGATTGGGAACCGACATTTCTGTGCAGTACTTTTCCTATAATGCCTAGACAATGTGCAATGTAGTTCACAATTCACACACATTTCTGATATAAGAGGGTTATTCACTAAAGTGAGAATTCAAGGTGAATTCAAGGTGAATTTCAAAGTCAAGGTAAAAATACTAGTTGTTTGTCAACGATTGCTAGCGTAAGTATTCACATATATTATTATAGTCCGGTGTCAGCAAAAGGAAAAATATAGGGAATGAGCTTAGACCATTGGATTTATGTGTTAGACGTTTTTGGGACCACAGCCTCCTTTGTGGTTTGAACAAGTCTGGAATCTAGATAATATTGCAGTTGAAAAACGACCCTCTGATTGTTATAACATTCAAACTGGCCACGCTTTCTTTACATGTTAACATTAAGGTATAATTCTTTTTTTTTTAAATTCTTTATTTATGAAATGATCAGACACCACAGCAGTATATGCAACATGATGCAATAAAGAACAACATCGCAATCACCAAAACAATACGCATTACTTGTAAAAAACAGACAATATTGCAAAGTCTGACTACCAATCACAAACAGCATATCTAACATATGAATGTCGTCTTTACGAGTTTGATTACTGCGGTATCCCACCCATTTTATTTTAAGTAAGACAATAAATTACCATCTGATAGTGAAATACACAGTGATATTTCACGCTATCCATCCACAGCTACCCCTAGAATGCAATAAGAATTTGGCTAGGTCAATGAACTAAAACTTAGTGTACAGGGATGACATTTATGTGAAGATATTTTACTAATAGCCTACCAATAAACACCCCTCGACCCGCCCCTCCAAATATAGCTTCAGTGAGCCATATGGTAACTGGGCAGTAACCAGATAGATGGGAAAAAACAATAAAAAGATAAATAAAGAAAATAAAAAGTTAACCGAAAGAGGAGTACCAAAAGGATAGAAGAGAAAAAAGAAGAAAGAGTAGGATTGGGAGTAGGATTGGGAGGGGGTATTATAGTGATTTTCCCAGAATGGTAATGATGCCGATACGATCAGATAGCTGGATAGCCACGAGCCGGGATGTTTTTAGCGAGTACTGCCATGCCAGTGCGAAAAACTAAAGACCGTGAACATCTCGTGGGATCCTGAGGGTCCCGCTTCGGAAGGGGGAGTAAAAGTGTGTTATGCATCCTGTCATCAATAGAGGTGCTTCGGGGTACGCAGGGAACGAGCCCGTCCCCCACTCCCCTAATCACCCACCCCACTAGCCACCCACGGGCTCCAAATCTTTTCCATTTTCTTCTTAGTGCCCCGGACCCTAGCTGTTAACTCGTCCATTATGTATGTATCCTTAATCTTTTGTATCACCACCTCCATAAGGTCTCTCCCTGTAGCCACACTTGGGCCATGGCCCTTCTGGCAGCCAGGGTCACCTTATGTAGTAAATTTTGTTCCGATCTGGACCAGTTCTCCAGCGATCTGGCCAGGAGGAAAACCCAGGGGTCTGGTTTGATCACCCTATCAAAGATATTTCCCAGTAAATCCGCGACCCGTTTCCAGAATTTTTGTGCCTCTGGACAGACCCACCACATATGTAAATACGTCCCTTTCTGGCCACATCCTCTCCAGCATAAATCTGTATTAATTTTATTCATCCGGTAAAGCTTCGCCGGGGTAGCGTACCACCGAAACATAGTCTTATAGGCTTGTTCTTGAAATGTGACACAAATAGACGAGGTCGCCGCTGCCTCCCAGATCTCTTGCCACTCAACACCCTCCAGTTCCTCATTCAGATCCATTTCCCATTGAGACGTATAATGAAGCTCCCCCCATTCAGATGTGGTCGTACTGAGGTGCGCGTATAAGTTAGTGATGAGGCCTTTCGGAAATTGTTCTTGAATGCACATTCTTTCAAAAAACGTGAGTGGAGTCAAGGCGCTAGTTTTAATCTGTGGGTTATGGGCGAAGTCCCTTAACTGGAGGTATCGAAAAAAATCGGAGGGACGTAGAGTAGCTCTGGACTTCAACTCATCGAAGGATATAAAAGCACCCCCCTCATAAAGATGACATAGTCGTTGTACCCCTGTGCTCTCTATGCCCTTAAAGTTTCTGGCTTCCAATCCCGGAGGGAACGCTCGATTCCTCAGATAAGGGGCCAAAGGGGACAGATGGGGGGATAAACCATATTTGGTTGATGTTGCGTCCCAGATTTTCAATGAGTTAGCGATAGCTGGGCATTCGACACGTATCAATGGTCTGTGGTCCCTAGGGACCCACATAAAGAATTGAGGGACGTCGGAACCCAGAAGGGTGGCCTCCAGGTCGACCCACCGCCTCTCTTCCGGGGGAGCATGCCATAGTGCTATTTGAGTTAATTGGGACGCTAAATAATAGAAATAGAGGTTTGGTAGACCTAAGCCCCCCTCGCTTTTGACCTGTAAAGAACGTTACACGAAACTCTATGTTTCCTGTTCTGCCAAATGAATTTCCCAATGGCCTGCTGGAGCGTCCCTAGATCTGACTTGGACAGCCAGACCGGGAGAGCTTGAAATAGAAACAGAATCCTAGGGAGAATATTCATTTTCACAGAGTGAATCCTACCAATCCAGGAGATCGGCTTATCTATCCATTTCTCCATGTCTCCTATCAAGGTGCGGATCATAGGAACATAGTTTTGCTGAAATAATTGGGTAGGGTCCGCTGTCAGCCGAACCCCCAAATACTTTATATGATCGTTTGCTATGTGTATCCTATAGGTGTCTCCGATGTGGGCGATATCTGTGTCGCTCATGCTTATGGGAAGTGCGCTTGACTTAGTTAAGTTCACCCTATATCCGGCCAATTCGCTATAGGCCTCCAACACTGTCGCCAATGCCTCCATAGAATTTATCGGATCCGTCAGGGTTAGCAAGACATCGTCAGCAAAACCAGACACCACATATCGCTTCTCCCGAATCACGATCCCCTTGATGTCGGAGCTATTTCTAATTGTTTGTAGGAGGGGTTCCAAAGAGAGAGCGAACAATAGAGGTGACAGCGGGCAGCCCTGCCTAGTCCCATTCCCCAAATTGAAAGGTTCCATCTTCGCGCCCGAAATCCGGACTCGAGCCCGAACGTCAGTGTACATTGCTTGTATCGTAGTTATAAAGGGTTCAGGGATACCAAACTGTCGGAGGGTCTCGAAGAGATAAGGCCACTTTACCCTATCAAAGCTTTCTCCGCGTC